TTTACAGTATGAGAATACAAAACTTTAGGTCAGCATGGAGGACATACACATTCCCAACATTAGCATCTACTTACATCATGGTAATATTCAATTGTTCAGTACAAAGGGAGTACACAATCCATTTTTCCCAGAGCTTCTTGAATTTCTCAAGCTCAAGTCAAAGGTAGGTCTTTCCATTCCAAAAATTTCTTCCACTATCCCACTGGGCCCGAGTTGGAGGGTCTGCCTTTAGCCACCTTCGGGTTACGGCCTTTCTGCTGCTAGTCAAAAGTATTTTCAATAAATAATTATCTTTATGTGGAAGCGCCTTAGGTAAATTGCCAAGAAACAATGTATCAAATGAATAGTCTATTTTTATCCCAATTATTTTATTTATCTCAATGGCCACTTCCCCCCGATATGGCTGGATCCTTGGGCAGGCCCAGAAGACGTGAAAATGGTTTGCCATGGGGGGGTACCACAACCTCTCCAACATAGGCCCTGGCTCTGTGAGCCTGTTTGCCGAGCTGTGAGTTTAGGAGTGATAAAGAATCTCACAACATTTTTCCAACCAAACTCTCTTAAGGACCTTGAATTTGTGGTAGCGTGAGACTCACATATTCCCCACCAGCTGTCCTCTGATATTTGTGAGGCTGATTCCCAGTTTTGCTTCATATACAATGTAGAGTGATTTTTAGAGGCTTGTAGCTGTTTGCCTTTCTAAACGTCTTTGTGTTCACTCGAAGATCATTTGTGCTGTAAATGTAGGAGACATACGTGGCTGCTGTCCTGTGGATTGTTTTCGATCACACTACTTTTCTCTCTGTGATATTTAGGTTTGATTGAAAAAAAAGAAAGAAATCTGACCAACAGAAACTGAGTTTTATTTTCGTGTGCATCTATTTTCACGCTAGAAGACAAAATGTATAATTTTTAGATACATTAAAGCTACCTTTACATTTCTTTAAATTTAAATGTCACATAACTGTTGAGTTATCATTTTCACATATTTCCAAATATTTAGGAAATATGTGAAAAACTAAATTCAGACATTTTGTTTGATTAAATGTTGTAATTGCTTTTTATTATTTGCGTCAAATCGTACGCTGAAGCTGTATGGCTCGTGTTACAGTAACTGTTGGAGCTATTTGTTCTTATTTTTTCATTATTTTGAAATTAGTTAAAGTTTGTTGTTAGTTTACTTATATTTTGGGGTTTATTTACAAGTTTATTTGTCGGTTAATATTTTGTTTCAATGTTTGTTTGATGTTACTTTGTTAAATTAGTCAGTAAGAGCTGTAGGGCCATTTTGTTTCTATAAATAAAGAGACTGGTATAGGACCAGCATGCACTGGGG